TCCCACCGTGCCATGCAAAGTGCACGATGTAGCCCTCACGGTCCTTCGCCTTGGTGACATAACGGACCTCGCACTGGCAGAACATTTCGGTACCCCAGTTCCAGGCGTCACTGAGATAGTTTACCAGCGTTGTAGACTTGCTGCCGTCGTTGAGACCGGTAGTGTCTTGCCCACTGAGCGTAGAGGCTCGCATGTAGACACCGGTGCTGTTCTCGCCATCCTCGAAGCGGGTGGTCTGGGGTACACGGTCGAACTTCTCGCTCCAACCCATGAGCTTGGCCTGCTTCTCGAGTGTCTCCAGCTTGTGTAGCTTGGGGAAATCCTTTGGGTACTTCTTAGGCTCCAAGACACCGGCGGCGCGCTTGTAATCTGTGTTGCAGAAAGTTAGCGTCTTTACGAAGTTTCTGTATGACAGGGAGGCTAAAAGTCACATTTCTTCAATTCTCCTGCATCTATCTCCTTGGGCCAAATAGGCAGGTTGAGAACCCCTTCGTCTGCTTCGAGGAAGACGTTGGCGTTGAGCAAACTTGTGCCGCCCAAGCCATTGCCGACGAAGGCGTTTTGACCATCTCCAACAATGAGATGGTAAAGGCCAGTCGGATCACCGCCAGTGCCCAACTTTCCAAGAGCACCGAGAAGACCATCCGTCGCCGCGTTCGTAGTGTGAAGCTCCTTCACGGCTGGCATGATCTCGGAAGGGAACTCTCCGGGCCACTTCTCCTTACCGCGCTCGAGCAAGCAAACCTTCTTGTTGCCACGCGCCATGCGGCTGGCGGCGACGGCGCCACCATATCCGGAGCCGATGACAACAACGTCATAAGACGGGCGGATCAGCTCAACGGGGCGGGAGATACGCGGGTATGCGCCAGTCACAGGGTCGAATGTGTCGCCGGCCTGACGGTATCCCTCGCGGGGCTCCGTGGCCGGATAGGGGGTGTCGAAGGACTCTGTGTAGTCAGGCTCGATTCGACCGTTGGACTCGCCATTGAGACCGTTAGTCTGTTGATGGTCGTAACCGTTGGGCTCCGCTGTGCCCTCCATCACGATTTTGTTTTTAATAGTAGCCTCTTGTCGTCAAAGAGCGCTAAGGACTTCCAAGTGCCGCTCTTCTAAATGAGAGAAGGAAGAGTCGGATACCTTACGTATACACTCGATCTTCCTGGCCGTCTGGTGGATGATGGCTTAGTCTTATAAGGTCAAGCGCCGGCAAGTATCTACGGCCCGCAGCGGCTCCCCCAGACGTGCAAGGTCAGTCAACGCATTCCTATCGACGACAGCCTGTGTGCAAAACTTCCTCTCAACGGTAGACAGGGTCCTCGCGACTTTCACATGCTTTCCTGACATTCAAAATGTTGACTGCTTCATCTTCCCATGATATGACCGGATCCGGATAGTCTCACTCGGCTGTGACGGAAGAATGTTCGCAATCATCCGAGAGACACTTCGTTGTGGTTGTTGATGGGGTAACTAGCCTTATGCCTCCATGTGGTTGGAGTAGGAATTGTCGTTGAGGGTGTAACCAATTACACAACGTCTCTCAATGTGGCTTGCTTGAATATGTTTTTGCAAGACACTCATCAGAGGTGGCATGTGCTTGCTGAAGGCAAAAGTAAGCCGAGCGACAACTTCATCGAGCATGTAAAACAGTCGAGAACCCCAATTCTATCGGTGAAAGTCCCAAAAGTTGAGGACTGGTAGCTCTTTGAATTGAGTCGTGGCGATTGGAGGTTGGGCACTCATGTTCACTAAATCTGAAAGACGACGTTGAATTCAGAATGATTGGGTGTTTGTCGCTGGCTTTTTGGGAGAGTTCTGCGGACTTGCATTTCCTAACGGGCGCTGAGACTATTTGCACACTAGTTCAATACCACATGCAGGGCAATCTCCACTGGGAGGGCGCAGCCGTGATAGGGCATACCGGCAGAAGATCGCATTTCAACGAGGGTTCTGCTTTTCGGTTCATGCTAGTCAAGCTAGTCAAGCTAGTCAAGCTAGTCCCCAGTGTGATGTGACTGTAGCCCAAAAGGTCTGATGATTGGTCGGCTTCCCGCCAGGAGTCTCACTAGATGCCGGAGTGCTCAACGGGCAACTGAGACGAACCAGCTGCTTCTTTTCCATCTGGAGGGTAGAAGGTCGCGATAAACCGGCGAAATATTGCATGCTCTTGCCTTCACCCAATTGGCTCGGGATGCTTATCATCTTAGTAGACAATCCAGAATGTGAGAACGCATGCAGACGGACGGAAAGTCTAGCGGCCCGCAACCGGGTCGAAAGCGGATTTGGGGTAGCCATTCTTCAGAAAGCATGCGTAAAGCGTGCGTAAACAGGACAGCATGCAGGTGGGGATAGCTCCGAGCTTCACAGCTCCGATAATGTCTCAGACAAGACATTGGTGATCGTCCGACTAGCTTTCAGCTTGTCAGTGTAGCTTTGCAATTGTCTTGAGGGGCCATGTCAAGGGATGTCTGACATACCAAATCTCACACTCATCCCTGAGGCGTTCGGATCTGTAGCGAGTTCAGGGTCAGAAAGCCATCTGTGCCGTCTTCAGTCTAACACTGCTCCAGTTGTTGGGAATCGTCGCGGGGAGAAATGTAGTGGAAACTCTGATCCAGCCCTGCAATCATAAAAGCAAAACCACTGGGACCACGGAAACTTCACTTTCAAGCCTCAATCATTCGATCACTATAGAAAGCATTCAGGTTACGGCGCGGCATGTGAAAACACTTGTTACTATCAGCATGTGATAGTAAGACACCAAGGATTGCCTGAAGTTCCTCCCTGGTGGCCATCACATCTGGCATTTTAGGGCATTAGGAAAGCCTCAACAGTCCTAAACGTTGAAGCCTCTCCAGACTTCAGATCACATTTCAAGGAAATTAGGAGTAGTATTTGATCCAGCTATCCGGCAGCATCGCGGCTACTCGATGTCATTTATATTGACAACTTATTCCATCGAGACTATTAGCCGCACGTGCCTCTAGAGATGGCGGCAGTCGAAGTCACCTACTCCCTTCCGAAGGATGTCAACGAGAAGAAGCTAGAGGTCCGGACCGGCTCGGACATTCGCCTCCGTAAAGAGAACCGCGGAGCAGATGCATCATGGAACGGCACCGACCCCTTCCTTAAGCAGCCTTACTACTACACAGGTGCTCCCTGGACCCTTCTCGCAAGCGACTTGCTCCTGTTCTGCAAGAACGTTGCTTTCCTACCATGCATTGTCCTACCACTCTGGTCGCAGCCCCCGGCTCGCTCCTTCAACCTCGGAGTCGACAACCGATTCAAAGAGCAGCCTCGATTTCTCGTGAGCCAGCTCCACCGACGCTTCGAAGCATGGGCTCAACGCTACTTCCACTCTGGACCCATGGACGAGCTGTACCCCTCTTGGAACAACATTCGTGACGTCATTTTCCACTCCATTCTCATCGTCACTCAATCAGCCTTCTTGATCTCCCTTCCTTTCCTCTCCTTCTTCTCCTTTAACATCTTTGTTGCCTATGTGGGTCTTTTCATCGGCATCAACTATTTGGCGTGCATCGGGCTCAATGGCTGGATGCCTGAAGGATTTATCTGGTCGGCCGACACCCCGGCAGCGCGAGAGTGGGAACTGAATCACCCCGAGGAAGAGTGGATTTTCCTCAACGGTGTTGCTGTCGGGTAAGGACTTTTGGCCTCAAAACACACATTGCATGAACTAAGCATACATCTACAGCAAGAACTGGCTCCAGAGCAACATTGACCGAATTTCCGTTACTTTCCATCGAAGAGTGAAAGGTGTTCACAACAAGACGTAAGTCAGAAGATTCTATGCTATCGGGACCCACACTGACATTGTTTACCAGTGCTGGCATCATCTTTGATGTGATCCAATGCCTCCTAGAGCGCTGCCTCTATTTCGGTACCACCGATACCCGAGTCTGTTTCTCGCACATTTCCACCGCCCTGCTCAACCAAGACAAGAAGAAAGTCATCCTCATTCTCCACTCTCAAGGTGGACTGGAAGGAAGCATCATCCTGGACTGGCTCATCAACCAACACCCCCGTGAAGTCCTGCAAAAGCTTGAGATCTACACCTTCGGCAACGCCGCGAACCACTTCAACAACCCCCGCACCAAGAGGGACCACGGCATTCCCAGACCCAAGGGTCGTGCCATCCGCCACATCGAGCACTACGCCAACTCGAAAGACTTCGTCTCTCGGTGGGGTGTCCTGCATTTCAAGAAGCAGACTGCCAAACGAGATGGACGCTTCCTCGGGCTTGGTGAGATTGCCGGTCTCATCTCCATCAATAAGAAGACAGAAGTCATCAAGGCCGTGGGCAAGACTGAGCCGAAGCAGGCGAACCACCTGAGTCCTGACTGGAACGAGTTTGAGGGTGCGCTTATTGAGCGACCTGGTTCGGGTCATCAGTTCAACCAGCACTATCTTGACAACATCTTTCCTCTTGACACTAATTTGAGCAAGGTTCAAACAAATGGAGATGGTTCGCCCCTCCCGGGCACCTTCATGGCGTCCCGCACCAAGGTTCACAATGATCCTTGGAAGATTGATGAGCAGCGCAATCTCACGAACGGGGTTGATGGTACTGCTCACCATCACCTCAACGGTGTGGTTGAAGGACCCAAGGTGTATGAGGTCAGCCGGCTTTGGAAGTTTGTCAACGGCCGACGACCAGAGGACTACTCTTGAGAAGGTCCGTGAGCTGTTATCCCAGAGAAGAGCAGCTTATTAGGTACATGTCGGTCAGACTAGCGTTAAGGAGTCTCGGATACCGATAATATTCAAGTAATTGGAACGCTGCTGTAGAACTATTCAGAGATGTAATCTTTAATAGCAAAATAGTGGTTGATATTTGACCGGTCACTAAAACCCGACTATGCACAATTGATATCTAACACGAAGTCCCAGAGTCTTTCGCTGACTATCTAAGGTAGGAGATCTTCTTGATTCCACTTTCGCGTTGCTTGCCAAGGTCTTGCACCCTGCCTTACGGCATATGATCATTGTGACGAAGCTCTTTGCCGCTTATGGTCATCCGAATCATCGACATCGGACCCGGCTGCTCTTTTATTGCTGCTCTCCTGGCCACCAGTCTCTTCGCCACCGGATCCAGACCCAGACCCGGATCCTTTGCCCTTCTCCTCATTGCTGAAGGACTCGTAATCCTCCGAGTCGGATGTAACTAAAACCTCTTCAGATGTTTGATCTTGTTGAGGCTCTTGACTCTGCTTCTGCTGCTGCTGTGCTTCCTTTACCTCTTGCTCGACACGTGTCTTCACCATGGCTTTGGCCGTCGACTCCCCTTCCGACCCGCTCTCATCTCTTATCGCATGCGGAGAGATCTGGCTCATCAACCTTGCCTGCATCGCACTCTCGCCGGCCTGCTAGACAGTCAGTAGCCATCATTCAGGGCAACACACTCTCGAACACATACTGGAGACAGGATGCCCTCCAAAAGACTTCATGTCTGGGATGGGATCGCTGCGACGGGAATGGGAGGATAGAACAACTCACAACCAAGGTGACCGTGTTCCTCAAAGCGTCAGACTCCCTCCGAAGCCGAGCTCTCTGCCCTGGAGATAATTGAGGAGTCTCAACATCGAACGGTCCACGAACACCCTTGTGGGGTCGGAGGTCCCTGCAGATCCCGGAGCACCGTGATTGCCACTCATATTTATGGTCCAATTACCGCTTCTCGATAGTGAAGTCGACGTTCCGGATGTTTGGTTTCCTGCCTCAGTATACCTACGAGTCACTCCCATCCGATACTGGACTGATACGAAGCCATCACTCACAGCGAGTTCTTATATATATTGCCATAAACACCTGCACTACTCTATGCTTGGAATCCTACTGCGATACTCGACTTTTGGACTCTCAGCTACGTACAAACAGTCTTCTTTCAAAAATGAGTCCTTTCACGATCTTACCGCCCGGCCAAGCGCTGGACTCGCGAGGCAGAGCATTTGATCAGTTCTGCCGTCAGCTCGTTTTTCACACCTGTGAGATGACTATTCAACTTTCCGATTTCTTTGGCTAATAAGAAAGCGAAACTGATCACAGTGTGGTGGGCGGTGAAGTACATCAAGCCCAAAAGAACAAACACAGTGTACCGACAAACAGAAAGTCCTGCTTTGAGTGCCCACCAGACTTTCCATGATCAAGGGGGAAGCATGTCATACTTTTCTTTAAGGACCAAGTTCCGACCATGAGGTCTTCGAATCGTATTCGAGATGGCTGCGAGGCGGCAGCTTCATCCTCATTGGAGCGATACCCGCCAACAAGCGAGGGTTGCACGACTTCATCGCTTATGGCGACACCGTCAAGACACTATCCTGTAGCACAACTGAGCAACGAGTATAACGATGGGTTCCAATCGATGATGAGGTAGGTAGAGTCCTATCCGCAACAGTACCAATGTGTTGCAAAAACATCGACTACTTTTGCGGTTCGTGTGTGTCAATACTTCAGCTCACGTCGCAATTCTCCATCGTCCGACCATGTAATGTTGCGGTGTCGTAGCCGGCAATAACGCGGCATACACATCGGCGCCATGATTACCGGCTCTCCAGCATCGCCGACCTCGCTCCGACGAACGACCCTTCAATTACCATGTATAAAATCATAAAAAACATCAAACATCAACCAGAGCACATCAAGCTGCAACATAGACTCCTCCCAAGCCAAATGACGTCATCATGGCAACCCTCAGCACCGCAACGTGGATAGCCTCACTCACCTACAACGACCTCCCTCAGGGCGTTAAAGGAGCAGCCGTACGCTCCTTCTACAACTGGGTCGGTTGCGCCATCGGCGGAAGCTCCCATCCGACAACCCTGACGGCAACCAAAGCCCTCTCGCCCTTTTTCGGAAAGGAAAGTTCTTCAGTACTTGGATTCGATCGTCGCATCGATGCGCAACACGCTGCTCTCATCAACGGCATCGCGTCGCATGTCCACGATTACGATGACACGCATCTCGAGACGATTGTTCATCCGACTGGATGCGTCGCGTCCGCGCTGCTGAGTTACGCAGAGACGCTGCAGCGCCCGGTCACGGGAGAGGAATTCATCACGGCATTGGTCGCCGGCATCGAGGTTGAGTGCAAGATAGCCTTGGCCGTATACCCAGAGCAATATGATATCGGATGGTACCCTCCTGTCACCCTTCCCACGTTCACATAATTGCGGAGGCTAACACTTCTTTCAAGGCACATCACAAGCACAACAGGCTCCATCGGCGCCGCCGCCGCCATCGCAAAACTCCTCGCCCTCCCGGCAGACAAGACAGCCCACGCCATCGGCATCGCCGCAACGCAAGTCACTGGCCTACGCGAGATGTTTGGCTCTGACACGAAATCCTTTCACGTCGGACGCGCCGCTCAGAATGGGCTTCTTGCTGCCGTCTTAGCTGCAGAAGGATTCACGAGTTCACCCAAGGCGCTGGAAGCTGGGCGGGGCTGGGCCAAGGTCGTCAGTACGAAGGAAAACTTGAATGAGCTTGTTCAGAGTCTTGGACAGGGAGGACCGGGGAAGTGGGAGATTGAGAAGAATTCGTTCAAGCCTTTTCCGTGTGGTATCGTTATCCATCCGGTTATTACGGGCGCTGTATGGCTGCATCACGAACTGAAGAGACGAGGCATCTCAACGGAGGAGGTCGTGAGTGTCGACGTGACGGTTCATCATCTTGTGCTCGAGCTCACTGGTAAGAAGACACCAAAGGATGGTCTTGAAGCCAAGTTCAGCGTTTACCACGGCGGCGCGGTGGGCTTGTTATATGGGAGGGCGACTGTCGTTGAGTACGAGGACGCACTGGTCACCAGCGCGGCTGTTGTTAGCTTAAGAGACCGTTTCAAGGCGACAGTTGACGAGTCTATAAGGGCTGATGAGTGTCATTTGGTGGTCAAGCTGCGCGGTGTTCATGAACCGATTGAGAGGCACGTCGACCATGCACTTGGAAGCGTCGAAGTGCCCATGTCTGATGACCAGCTGACGGAGAAGTTTATCACGCAGGCGGCGCTTCAGGTTGGCGCGGAAAAGGCAGAGAAGGCAAGTCAGTGGTGTTGGGGTGTGGTTGGATCAGGGGACATGAGAGAGCTTGGAGGGATTGTCTAGCTTCAGTTAGTAGTTTGCCTTCCATGGTTCAGCACTCACCTATTGACCACAGTGCCTGAATTACCTCGATGATCTGGCTAGCAAAGTAACTCTTCATGTTCTATTGGCAAGACCAAGGGCCAAAGCGACCAGTTCTCTAGTAGATACAAGCTTTTTACCTCTCCTTTGAGAAGACAATGAATGCAACGCTGCATTTGTACACAGTCTCAGTGCCAAGAAGGCATACACAAGTGCTCGTGAATATCTCCAATCAGAACAATGACTCTTCTGGCACAATGGCCGGAAACCAGAGTATCTCGTTTCCCCATCCCAAAGGCCTGCCGTATGTGAACCCTTATCTTACATTCCTAAAGTGAAGGCACCATCCTGCAGCATTGCCCGTTGAGTGCATCTGGGCTTAGCGCACAGTGACGTTAATAGGGCTCACGGTTGGCGAATGGAAGGCCCAGTTAGTTGAAGTGAAAATCGAGACCCTCGGATGTGTCCACGCGTTCGGGCCAGACCCAGTCGTCGGCCACAGAAGATTCAGAAAGCTCCGAGTCTTCTTCTGGAATGGTCTCCAGATGGCTGCAGAGAGGCTCCCACTCCATAGACGAGCCAGAGGTATCTGTCGAAGGAGACTCGTGACTAGCATCGATCTCGACCTGGTTGCAGCGGTATATCATCATACGCTGAGCCCTCTCGGTCTGGTAGTAAGTCTCGGCATCCATGAACTTGATGTCACTCTCATCATCTGCGTCGTAGGCAATATCGTCGACGATGCTTGGCAAAATCTCATTGTTGGGCGTGAATGAACCCCATGTGGTGAATTTCAGCTGGCCCTGGTGAGTTTCCAGCCGGTCAGCTCAAGTCACAGTGTAGTTCTTTGAATATCTGATCACTTTAGTGAGAAAAGAATGGGAATATCATCATACTTGGTTCTCTGGGATCTTGGAGTCATCTCTCTTGCAGCCCTGCTTGGGGTGGTCCCTGGTCTGACGGGGCAAAGTATTCTTAGTGGTCTTGGCTAGAGAGTCTGGGTCATTCGAATTTCCAGTATGGCCGTTTGAGGTCTTCTCGGGGCTGTGGACTCGGGCCTTTTTCTTGCAAGGCTGAGGGGCGAGATCATCGTGTATGTCGGACATGGTCTTGTTCTTTGATGCCATTTTGCGCAGTTGATGCGAAGGAAATGCGTTGCTTGCTCGAGTTGAAATGCAGGGGAGTTGTAATCGTAATTGGGATGAAAGTGAGGAAATGCTGCTGTGTTGGAGTGGAAAGTGTGCGCGATGAGTGCATTGGTGGGATATGGATGAGGTGAAGGTTGTGATCATTCCATCTTCGGTGGAAGAGATGTGGGGCATCACTTTGCCGGCTCCCAAGAAAAGGTTAGAGGTATGCTGGACTGCTGCACGTGACGCAAGATTTAAATGAAAAGGTGGGAAGGAGCTGCCTAGGGAAGTAGCTGTCGGGAAAGGGAAGGAAGCAAGAGGAGGAGAGTATAAGCATGCCCTACCTACCTACAACTTGTCCACAAAGCTATCTCATTTCAGTGGGCATAGCTTACACGATTGAACCTAAGGTAAAATGCTGACCAGGACTATCCGCAGCCTGCTATTATCCACTAGTCTAAGGTAGGTACCTTAATCAATTATGAAGCAAAATATATACAAATAATCAAGGGCCAAAGGTCTAAACAACAAAAGAGTTCACCCCCCCGGTGCTGAACTGGGGGCTACATCTCTAGTGCTCATGCTGGGACTCGAACTCGGGTGCTCTCGTATGCGCTAAGCCTGTCGTCGAGTAGGCTGGTTGGCGAATTGATTGTTGACCATGAACCGTTCCACCACCACGCCACAGTTTGACCTGAACCCCGGCCTAGGGGTCGCCTGCTGCGCTGGTGACAGAAACAGAGTTGAGGGTGTATATGAAGGTCTCAATCCATCGGATGAGAGTCTGCTGGTACGTATCCATGGATCCCCAGGTGCGAGGGTGGGAAGGCGCTGACACGGAGCCATTGAGGTGCCTCCTTCCCGCAAAACATTTTCTCGGATGGACCCACCTAAACGACCACCTCACACGCCGTACCTCTAGTGCTCAATGTATCTTGCCGTGGAAGTTGAAGGCCGTACTTCTTCTTCTCATTAAACTTGCCAGAAAGCCTTGATCCCACCATGGCACTCTTGAAGCCTCGACCGTAAACACCTTACTGACCCCACGGAAACATATCTCGGCGCCGGCGTGGTCCTCAGTAACCTCCTCGCTTCTACTGAAGAGAATAATGTAAGGTGCGATGGTGACTTTGACGATAGAATTCTACATACGGACTCTGATACGAATAGGAGACAAATTCTCTACCAAGGCCACCCTTGTGATTTTTCTTCTTCTTTTTATTTGGCCCGGAATCAAGTGGATCTTCTTTACGACAAGAAATTTACTTGAGGTATCCTATTTCACCCTTCTAAACAGCTACTGTATTCTTCTTCAGGAGAACAGGCAAACATCAAAAAAGAAACGTATCACACAAACCCTGAGTGACATTCCGCTGTTAATATTCTACAGGTGAATCGCGTACCGCTCTCGAGATATTCGCCCAAGTGCATTTTAATGTTCGCCAGACGTTGGGTTGACTGTCACTCGTCGATTCTGGTTGGTCAGAGCTGCGTGTGGTGGGGCACCCCACGTTGTACCTGCACTTTGTACTACGTACTTCGTGCTTCTAAGGTAGAGGATCGATCGTACCTTCCCATCTTCAGATGCCTCCGGCCGCCTAAAGGTAATTCCAACGACCTGGAGTTTCTGGCCCAGGGAACCCTTCCCAGATTCAGAAGACCCTTTGCTCGAAGTTTTTCTCTCGCCATTCTGTGGTGTTTAATAATTTGCGTCTGAAGCTATGTTACGGAGACTTGGTGACGTTACGTAGGCAGTTGAGGACAAGACTGGCAGCCGGCAGGTACTGTGGGCCCACGGCGAGTGCCCTGTCCTTCCCATGGTGACGCTGGTCATCGGAAAGGAAGGAAGGGAAAATTCCAACCATTTCTCTTCCAATCCAAAGCGACAACATTTTACCTTCACTTCCATGATCGTTCAGCTTACACATTCTGGCTTCAATAAGAGGAGCGTGCGAAATCCGGTGCGACAAATGATTCCAGGCACCCCAGGCCCACTGCAAAGGCCGACGCCAAGTCGGGGTAAAGCTGGCCGAAGAGTGAGGGGCATTTTGCCTTGCGCTGTGGAAATTAGGCGACCACTCATCTCACCAACTCTTACCTAGGTGCTCGATTTCCATCAACCGCCTTGCCAGGTTTGCCTTAAGGTTACGGTTTACAACTAATCCAAGACCTGAAACCAAATCGCCGGCCTTTTTCTTCCCTCGATGGGCCCCTAGCCCTCAGCTGCGAACTTCTTGACATCCAACATGTCGCGCACACCGTGAGTGCATGTACTTGCTCTAGATCCCGCCAAGAGTATGAAGCGCCCAAGCTCACCGCATCACGCTCTCAGGAGCCATGTCTTGGTCACTGGCGCTACAGGATTCATTGGCGCGCACGTCGTAGATGTTCTCTTGTCCCGAGGGCTCAGGGTCCGCGGAGCCACCCGATCTCTCGCCAAAGGGAATGCCGTGATCAAGGATCGGCCCGAGTACGCCGGCAAGCTCGAGTTTGTCCAGATTGGTGATTTTGAGAAACTTGGTGTCTTCTCCGAAGCCATCAAAGATGTCGACACCGTGGTTCACGTCGCCAGTGTGAGGATTCTCCTGGCGCCATAGAGGCCAACATCGCTTGAAATTTTGTTAATTGTTTCGTGCAGCCATTTACCTACGATACCAAAGATAACGAGAAGGAATTGATTATACCAGCCATCAACGGTGTCCGCTCTATCCTTGAAGCAGCCGTCACCAATCCCAAGATCACTCGAGTGGTCATTACTTCCTCCTTCGCCTCAGTCCTCGACGTCAACCGCAAGGCACCACCATACTTTACATACACGGGGGAAGATTGGAACCCCCTGACCTACGAAGAAGCCGCATCTCCGGAAACAAGCGCCGTAGTTGCATACCGAGGTTCCAAGAAATTCGCAGAAAAAGCAGCGTGGAATTTCATACAGGAGCACAACCCCCGCTTTGACATCGTGACGCTGTGTCCGCCAATGACGTTTGGTCCCGTGGTTCACCCCGTAAGCAGCGCCGACAAACTGAACGAATCGAACGCAATGCTGTGGAAGATTGCAAGCGGACAGAAGCCCCTTCCTGTTGCTCGGGTCCCATTCTGGATTGATGTCAGAGATCTTGCGGTGGCGCACGTGGAAGCGCTCTTTAGACCGGAGGTGGGTAACAGGAGGTTTGTTCCGGCCGCTAAGGATCGCTTTTCGTATGGTCTGGCTGCCAAGATCATGGAAGGCAACTTTGATTGGGCCAAGGGCAAGGTCGCGCGGGAAGAACAAGCGATCGACACTTCGCATGGGCTGGATGGGGAGACGGTCGCGAGAGAGCTTGGCTTCGAGTACCGAACTTTTGATCAAACGGTCGTTGACCTCATTGACCAGGTTACGAAAATGGAAGACGGGACAGTATGACTTCGGAAGAAATGGTATTCCATTTATCAAAGGGCTGGGTGTTAGGGGCAATTAATAAGACCGCCACCTCAGACTACCCAAGCAAGATTCTCTCAGTTTGTGGTCAAGGGCCCAACAAAGATCTGGACTATCGGTCCCTGGGCAAATCCGTTTGTGAAGGTCGGCCGCGCTTGTCAATCTGATAATTACATATCGTTGACTCGGCCTACAAGTCATCTATCCCTGATTAAGCCACGGCCGGGACACTTTCTGCCTAAATTGATGTTACTCTTAAGCGGAACGAGCCCTCCGTTGCGACAGGTAAGCGAACAACACAGAGTGTGATCTATCCACCTGCGCAACACGGCTGGCAGATCAATGACTAACTAGTCTCCGGAACCCATTTCTGCTTCTCCGAGTTTGAATTACCGTGGTGATGGTATCGGGCCGTGTCGCCTTCTTAGCTTCGGAAGTGTCTCCGTGGATAGGGAAGATGAGCTAATACCTGCGAATGGTCCTATACAAAAACAAGCGACATCTGCACGACTTCCAGAATGTGCTGCTAGTGTTATAGCTTCTTTCAAGCACCGGCTCTATTCCATATTGTGCTAATCTCATACACATCTTGTTCGATATCTCCCGTCTTCTGCGCACAGACTGTCGCCATGAAGGTATCAGTGGTCTTGCTAGCGGCCTGCGCTGCTCTTGTTCAAGGACATTGCATCTTCCAGGTAAGCCTCCTTCGTACCTTCATCAGATCCCCAGCTGACCGTTAACTTCCTTGCAGAAAGTCTCCGTGAATGGCAAAGAGTACGGCTCCCTCGCAGGTCTCCGAGCACCCAACCAAAACAACCCAACTGAAGACGTGACCTCCCAGGACATCATTTGCGGAAAAGTCGCAACATCCTCCCAGGAAGTCATCACCGTCGCCCCCGGAGACAAGATCGGCTCCTGGTGGCAACACGTCATCGGGGGCGCCCAGTACCCCGGCGACCCAGACAACCCAATCGCAAAGTCTCACAAGGGCCCCATCACCGCCTGGCTCGCCAAAGTCCCCAGCGCTTCCAGCACCGGGATCACAGGGCTGCAATGGTTCAAGGTCGCCGAGGATAATCTGGACACGAGCTCTGGGTTATGGGGCGTCGATAAGATGATCAACAACAGTGGCTGGAGCTACTTCAACTTGCCGCAGTGCATTGCCCCAGGGGAGTATCTGCTGCGTGTTGAGTTGCTAGCTCTCCATTCTGCTCATCAGGTGAAGGGTGCGCAGTTCTATATTTCGTGTGCGAATATTAAGGTTACGGGCTCTGGAAGCTTTTCACCTAGCTCGACTGTGAGCTTTCCGGGCGCGTACCAGCAGAGCGACCCTTCGATCTACATCAACATCTATGGTACTGGTGGTCTTCCAAACAATGGGGGCAAGGCGTACTCCGCTCCTGGACCGAGACCGATTACATGCTAGAGATTGGAGAAGATGGCAGGAGAGTTCCCGGATAGGTTGACTGCGACTATATAGCTGCTGGTATCAATGCAATGTCATATGTGACATGGAGTATCGTTTGTTTTTACAGAGTGGTTCGGAGTTTGTTTGAATGGAAGTCATCCGCCCGAGTTTCTCATTGATCACATTACACAACTCCTACACTCACACGACCGTCTTCAACCATGACACGCAAGTTGATGTTGATACTCATCTCCGTCGCGTTCCCCGTAGAGTTCCTGGCGCCTTTCCCGGAGCCTATGCCGATGTCAGAGAGGTTGCCAGATCCCACATTGATGTTTGTTACTTCTGTAATGCGGTCGCCGATCTCAATCGTGTTTCCATCGCCGATGGTGTTGTTACCGTCTCCGATATCAAAGTCGTCGCCTGCACAGACGGGAAGCGTTAGCAAAAGCTTTCACAGGGTACTTGAGATACCATCGTCACCCGACTTCGTACCTGTGTCTATGTCATTCCCTGTGCCGGCGAACCCAACGCCGTTTCCGTCGCCGATTCCTCCAGAGCTGATTGACCCCGAGTTGCCAGTCTGATTGCCGTTCACGCCATTGCCTACTTGACGCGGCGATATAGTGGGTAGGTGTTTGGTGATTGGGGTGAGGCTAAACTGGAAGGGTAGGCAGTGTGTCGTCGTGGCGCACAGGGCGAGAACCGCCATCAGGCAGATTCGTAGGCTGATGAACATGATGGCCTGCTCGCTCCAGAGTGGTGCGCTGGGCTGAAGTACGCTGATTGAGTTTCGCTGCTTGCCAAAAAGATTGTCATCAAGGCTGCTATGTGGTTGATTTTAAGCTTATCCAACTTGCAGAATGTCGTCAGAGACACAACTCCTTGAGCGTTCTCATCGCTAGAACGATGCCACTTTATTCTATTGAAACGACAAGCAAGCTAAAATTGGTCTTGTTGTCCATCGGGCTTCCCTTGCCAAGCCTGAAATATTGCACTCCTCAAGCTTCACAGCCCTCTTCGGATGAAGATACTGTATCGGCATTTCAATATAACTGCAAGTACAGCACTAAATATCAAGTACAATGAAGGAGAAAACCAGATTTGTCGGCAGCTATTCTTAGAAGGCATTCTGGAGGTGAGGTTTGGAAGTTGATTCGCCGTGTGCTCACATATTTACCGCGGGCGAAGATGGAAGACCACTGCCATTCTCACTCATCCTTGGCGGGCTGAAACCACGTGAATGGCCGGCAAATGAGGCATCCGGGCATACCGACGGCAATTGTATTAGTAGAGGCGGTGCGGTTGAATGCTACGCCATCATGGGGGGTATTTACGAAGGCCTCCAACATCGCGTTTCACATGCGTTCCTTCCGAAATACGTCACTTAAATCCCCTAAGAGCTCTTCTGTACCTTTACGAGCCCAGCAAGTGAACACTGCTCCAGACGCAAAGGCTCTGAGAGGCAAAACACGAAAGAATTGAAGGATGCCTCAAGAGTTCTGCCCGCACTTCATGCTGCGGTTTATCTGTTGTCTCTCAGGGCTATGAGCTCTTATCAAAAGGGCAACTGGTGGCAATTCTGTTCGAGCAACCAATACCATACAAATGGCACCAATATCTGTGAACTTTGCTGAGATGCCTGCGGTATTCTTCTGGACCAGTCATCTTTTAGTTTGGCTGCTGCCCAGGCTAATTGATACGCAGCATTCCACAAACTGTTTGATCTAATTGAGCGAACCGAGACACTTGCAGACATCTATAGATTTCTTCGATCCTTGTAAGCTACTTTCCCATGGGAAAAAGAACCAGAAAATGTATGGAAAGGCCCTCAGGTAGTTCCTATAGGCTTCCTTATGAAGCAATGGCTCCCGATTGACAGTGGTTGACCCAAGCATCACTGCCCTTCGACTCCATCACTTACCTTACTCTTTGGTTTCTACGTAGGAACTCCCGTGAAGAAATTTCTGAACAGATTCTCACTAGCCATTGACCTAAATTTCCTGATTTCCTGGACAGTTCTCGACTTCTGGGCTACAGCGAATAGACTTCTAGAAAGAAATGAAGTTTCTAAAACATAACTTATCTACTTGTGACGTTTGGGTCCGCTGGAGCCTCTTGGAGCACTGCTCGAGGAAAAACTCCACTACTGACGTCTATGTCATCTCCAATTGCTTGCTATGTCTTGTCTAGTTCTCACTTATATGACTGTTGTAGAATCCATCCTCTGGCTAAATCTTCCAACTTATTGTCTAAATCATTGTCCATGCTCAAAAATGTATGCTGTGATAAGATTCTAATTACGGCTATAGAACCTCAACCTGTAGAGTTTGAGATAGAGAGCAGTCGTTTGAACTTCCAGAAACGTAGAGCTGAGCGCAAACCATCTTTCCAGGTACTGTCATTTGGCTGTCAGGATCAAGAGTTCGTCGTCATTGACCCAAGATTTGTGATTCCATAAGAAGTATGTCTACCGAACGTTATCTTCGGTCCGTCGCTTTTTTTTTTTTTTTTTTTTTTTTTTTTTTTTTTTTTTTTTTTTTTTTTTTTTTTTTTTTTTTTTTTTTTTTTTTTTTTTTTTTTTTTTTTTTTTTTTTTTCTTTTTTTTGACCTGTTTTTTCTTTTATTTCAGCGAAAAGTGCTGGGAAGATTTTATTCGAACTTAATCCTGCCTTTTGAAGGGCCCAAATATATTATTGGCTGTTTATTAGGGCTTTCTCTGTAGTTTCTTCCTCCTTAGTGAGTTCAACTATCTTAATTCGTGATCATTCGATAGTCCAAGATTAGTACAATCGGTTGGCAGTGGCAAGTGATCTCTGCCCATTTTGCACTGGAAGAGAGACACTTACACGTAGGACGGTACTTAATTACAGCATCATATCTCAAGCCAAACAAGAGCATGAAGAAAAGGCAACACCAGGAAACATTAGTTGTCGTCCTGTTGTCGAGAATCAGTGTGGTATGTACCACATCTACGAGCTACGAGCTTAAAGACCTCGCAACGTAACAACAATTCTTATGAGTATATAGCCCAGGGAAGACACTCCAATGCTACTGAAGATGTTTATCTATCTGATTCCCCAATAGAAGAGTACCACAAAGTTCTATCCAGCAGGAAAAGGAAGAGGTGAAAACTAAGACCCGAGCACCGCCAGCCTCTTATACAACCTCATGGAACCCAGAATGATCAACGAATTGAATACTTTGAGTCAATAGGGCTTCCCCGTTTCTTCTGCGACCCGGCCCTGTCGAGTCACTGTTTCTAGATATGCTGCGAACCGGGCTTACACCCTCCCCGAGATCACACTTGACAAAGCAGTACGGACTAGCAACGTAGATCACAAGCATCGAACAGCATCACCTAATTCCTTGTCCCGGCTGGAGTCGTCAGATTACTTAATTGTCTAGAGTACCCGAGCTGACGAACAACCTGCAAAGACACTCACGATGTTCAATACTCGTCACATCTCGGATCAACGCCAGTATAGGAGAGCATCTATTGCTATTATGTTGCTCATACGAAGCGTTGACAAGGGGTTCACTTGTTCAAGACTCCAAGTTGATGCGGTTTCGGATTCGAAATCCTTGTCATGTCCTGGGAAGTGGGGCGTCGAGATGGTGAGATAACGCGGTAAGCGCTCGACTGCTTAGCCGAAGGAGAGATTTGGAATTGCAATTAAGATATGCGTAGTTTGTTGGATAGATCGTCTCCGCAGAACCGCTTTCTCGCATTTCGTAAGGTTGACAAGCTTATCATCTTGTCGGAGACCGAATGATTAGGCGGGTTCTGTTTCCCGGTCAAGTGAGGCTGTTTTGATGAAATGTCGTAACTTGACAGAAAACGTTGCAGGGGAATCCCCTATAGGAAGTGAGATCCGAGCGTCGCCTAATATAACCCTGCCCTGGGGTTGAATGGTCGGCAACTAGGACTCTCGATGATGGAATTTCTTTGAGATGGAGAAAAATGCAGAACTCGGGACACCCCAGCTATCAGAGTCTGGCTGGGCCCCGCATCTCCGCTTCTCATTTTGAAGATGTTGCACCGCTATTGATCGGCGGTGAAGATGTTCCAGGACCTTGGCTAGCTCTTCCGTCTCCCCTCCCTCTGCCCTTGCCATTGGCCTCCGCTCTCCGCCCACACTGCGACCCTGCATATGTCAAGACGAATACCCCCATCTTGGTCCATCTTGAGCATGGCCATGCATTTGGGCTGCGCGTATTAGGAATGAGAAGGGGGGTGTTCGAAGCATGGTTGGCTGGAGCTCGTCAGAGCTGGTAGAGCCAGAGGCTGCCCAGAGAGAACATCTGCATTACGAATTGTCCGTCCTTGTTGTGGTGGGGGAGAGTAGGATTGCTATGCTACGCTATAAAGTCTCGAGGGTCCTTCATTCGGCTTCATTGCCGCCTCATTTTCTCCCCAGTCATTAGCATATCGTTGTGCAGAATTTCAAAATGCTTCGATCTCGTTTCCCATCAGCTCATCACTTCACTGTGTCAATCTTCGGATGCCAGTATCATGCCGACTCACCCTCACCTGAGAAACTATCTCTCATCAACAAGTTTGACGGACTCATCAAGGCCGCCGCGATTCATGTCGAAGAGCTCGAGCAAAATGACCTCCCCTCCAAGGTCTGGATGAGCTACTGGAAGTCTCCCCAGGTTTTCAAGGCATGGTGGGAGAGCCCGGAAACTTCTGCCTTCTGGGCCGCTCTGCCTGAGAACGCTGGTTTCTGGAGAGAGACCGTGAGCTTGCCCGCCACGAGATCAATGTACGAATCCAACAAGGAGCAACCTTCTGGTTTCGGCCACTGCGGAGAGCTGATCCCCCTCACTTCGAAAACGGGATACTGGGGCGCCTACCGCTCGCGTATGACCCCTGATGGTCCGGAAGACAAGTTCGAGTCTCCTCTGCCTGCCGTACCCGAGGCTCGTCCTTTGACGGACAAGATCCGCCCCGGAAGGGTCAGAGTGTCCAAGTTCCCTGACAACATCTCCTTTGTTGTCGAGGGCCAAGACTACAGTGCCATGAATGATAACGAGCGCGAACACTGGAACGAGAACTTCGACGGTCTGACCAAGCAATGGGTCACCAATGTCATGAACGCTGGTCCCGCCGGTGGGATGGTTTCTTCAAGGGCCTGCCACGCCTTCGCGGGTGATAAGCAACCTGGTGCCACGAAAAGCGCTGTCAACGGCGCCTCAACCAACGGCACTAATGGTACAAATGGTACCAACGGAACTTTGACAAATGGACACGGCAACGGAATCTTCCCCGGCTTGGACTACATTCGTCAGGCCCAGATCCTCTTTTGGCTTGACCTTTCCAAAATGGAACACATCGGCAGAACGGATAAGGTTCACGTCAAGCTCAGACGCGACTTTTTCGCTGCATACGGGCCTGGCGGAGTTATGGAGGGTGGTGATTTGCTGCTTTGGGTTGATGTGGCAGTTCTGAAGGGTGAAGAGATGGACGCGGAGTATGTTGGGTGCTATGATGGAACAGGATTTCTTGCATACGACGACCACCCCGCGTTCGCGAGCGAAAAGGTGGACATCGCCAAGCTGCCAGCGTTTTTCGACGCGCCGATCAAGTCCCAGCCCATTGAGTGGTAAAGCGTAATAGTAATAATGTGTCATCTCATGTTTGTGTCAAAATCGTCCACGTAACCCTCCTTTGTAGGTGACCTTTCACGATAAACAGACGAAGAGCCTCCTCTAGCAGCCGGTGGGCACAGATAG